TCTTTTTTGCTAGGTTTTTTTCTGTTGCTTAAGCAAGAGCCCATTGTTTGATGTCTACCACAATTAAATGTTTATTATTTGTACTGGACCCTCTTGTCTCATGTTAAGTGGGATGTAAGATCAATAGTGGCTCTGCAATTTGTCCATTGATAAAGCCTTCATTTCTCAAATGAAGTACATTTGTCTGTGTCCTGACAATGATAAGGGAGCAGTACCAGTCGGCTGCTGCCTAGTCCAGCATTGAGCTCTACAACCAACAGGTGCCTAGACATGGGTCAAACTATGTCTAACTTTTTCTTACTGACATTTCACTTTACAAACTGCTCTGATGGGAGTTTGAAAAATCATCCTTGCTGAGTTCACATAATAAAAACTAGCAGGACAAATGGGAAGTTTTGCTAAAGAGAAAACAATTTTAGGTTAAATGACTAATCCATAAAGCTACTGGACGGTAGAATGAAGATGACGGAAAACATTCCATTTAAGGTACTAATTTGATTCTTCAAGCATCATTTAAATTTAGTAATTTGTCAAATTTAATTGATGAAAATTTCTTTTGAAAATTTTTTTTTTTGTGATAGGAAGCAAATTTTGACTCCAATAAAAAAAGAGTGAAATTCTCTTGGCTTTAATAAGGTCAAAATTGCATCTTCCAGTGGAACATATGAATCTATTTCAGCCCCAGAATTAGGCAATTCAACAGCACATGTGGGGTGATTTGTATGCTTTTTAAAATTTGTTTTATTTCTAATTCTGATTTATGACAAGGAAAGAAAGGCATTTCCCAACTAATGTCAAATTGGTAATGAAAATTCAAAGAGCTTGATAAACTGACACATTTGCTTTTGTTATCCATAATGTGTCTTGATTTAAGCCAGACAAATAATTCATATTTCGTTTGTGGTCTACTTTTTGATAATGTGTAGAGTGGGCTGTACTGGTTATATGCTATATAAAAATTAGGTGTATTTTTACTCAGGACTAGGGTAAATAATTCACATTATCCTCAATTTAGCCAACTTTCAGAAAGCTAGAAATGGTTATTGTATTTGGTAGTAAATCTGATAAACAGAACTGTGTGATCAGCATCTTTCTCAGATGTTTGCTTTCCATGTGTTGGACATGAGCTCATCAGGTAGTGTTAAAAATAGATTTAGCACTCAAGTCAGTCAAAGATTTCCTTTTTTTTCCTGATTTTAGCAATTTCTGCCTGGCCACTAACTTCCTATCAATGGTGTGACTACAGTTGCTGCATTATCATATCCATGTTGGCTCTTCTTCTTTGGAGGAAACCTGTCCAATGCAACTAAGAAGTCAAGAAATCCATACTTGTATATCTCTTGAGCTGCTGGGGTTTTTTTGGGGTTGGTTTTTTTTTTCTTTTTTTTTTTCTTTTTATCCACCTATCTTTAGGCTGCAAAAACAATTGGCGGACATACCTGAGTTAAATTGTGGTTTGACATATTGATTATTTCACTCCCTAAGGTGGAATTAAGGGGAGAATATCTCTATATGTGAAATCACAGAGATGATGCCCCAGAAAACAGACTTTCTTTGGAGTTTGCAAATCTAGTGTCAACATCAGTCAAAGAAGTGTTGGCAAGGGGAATTGCTATCAAAGACTTTTATGTACACAGAGGTAAGAACTAGCTACCTGTAAAGACATTTGCTTTTTACAGCTGAGAGAGGAAATTTAAAAATTATGTAGCTCTTCATATTTAACTATTCTATAGCACTGAACTAAAGAGACATCACACTTAAGAGACTATTTACCAAACTATTCTGGCATATTGAATAATTGCTGAGTGAACTGTACCATTCTGTAGCTGGCAGTATTGCTCAGAGGGTCCCAGCCAGAGCAGGTGGCCCTGGAGAAAGGACGAGAGCTCCTGTGCCTGGGGTCCCACGCAGCGAGGTGGGGCTGTGACTGCAGGAGGAGTTGTATGCTGCCAGCCACAACTGCTACACATAATACGCATCTGGCTAAGCCTCAGCAGTGTCTTCTTTAATGCTGCTGAAAATCAAAAGGATTTTCCTGTATAAAGCCATTGCAAATCCTTATGAGTAGATAACGAACAATTACCTCTTTAAAATCTTGCAAGCAAAACTGATATAGTTTAATTCTATTTTAAAAAATTATTCTAAGTACTTTGGGTTTTGAACATGGCTTTACTGTTAGTATGCTAAGATAATCACTTCTGAGCTGTTAAGAAAAAAGGCAGAACCAAATTCTTTGCCCTAAAGGACATAGCTGTCTTTTGGATAGACAGACAGGATGGTACAGCCACGAATAACAAACAGCTTTATAAGACAGTCTCATATCTATACAGTTATAAAAAATGAAACAACTTCTTCTCAATAAATTAATTCTGTGGATTATTGACTTCATATTGCCTTTGAGAGGCTTTATAGCAAACATTTATTTTCCAATCAAGCACTAGACTAAAGAACAACAGTAAAAGGTTTCATTGGCTTGGTTAACACTCCTATGAACATTCTCAGAAATGTAAAAAGGCTATGCCTTGAAGCACTTTTTATTCCATTAAACATTACAGGGCCAGATTTTCAACAGCTGAGGTTTTTGAATTTTTTTTTATTAAGTGATACATTATTTGCATTAGGACCAGTTTTCTGTAGAGATGCCTAAGAGATGTAGATATGTCCTAAATGTACCTAGATACTTAGGTAAAATAATTGCTCCCAGTTATTTATGTAGAATTTGATGCTTAGGTACTTTTGACAGCCCTGCTGAATGCCTACCAGCATTGTTAGACTCTTCAATGTCTTCTAAACCTGACTTGCTCTTAGGCTGTGAGGTGTCTTTTTAATTTCAGCTACATGATTCATTTGTTCTTTTGGGCAGAAACTTAAGTGCTAAGCTGGAAAAGGTATCTGTGTTTTTCATTTCAATCCTGTCATCATTCTCGTTAAGTATTTGCCTCTGTCCTTTGGGTCGAGTGGTAAAACCTTTACATTTTACTCTTTGCAGGGTAACATCTAGCTGTGACTATTAGCAAATGGAATTTGCAGTATGCTAAATAATGAACTAGTGGATTTCAAAGGTGTAACTAAGACCTGTCTTAGCTACATGACTTTTACATGCAAGTAATGTGAATACAAGGTTCCTATCAGCAGCAAAATTAGCTTCTTTTATATTAGCAGAAATTAGAGAGAAACTGGCTAACCTGGCTTGGTACAAATTTGCAGGTTATTCCTGCCCAAGTGCTTCAGAAGTGGAGGAGCACAGTACCTGGCAGAAATAGAAGAGCTAGAGGTGTGAGAATGATTCCTAAATCAGTGAAAAGTACCAGAACAGCTGATGAAAATCATTAAATAAAAACCCTCCTGAATGTGAGAATTTTCCAAATGCACTTCATTTATTCAGCTAATTTAAAATGTTTCTGAACTGACATGAATTCTCTAAATATTTTATAAGAAGAAAGCTACAGGCTTTATTTGGGCCGCTGTATAATGACTGAAAAACCTATTTATGAGGAATTAGGAAATATGAATTCTTGTTATCCATCATATTAATTCATGAAACATAATTTCTGCAACAGATGGTTTGCTTTTGCTTCTCTGAATCTAAGATATTCAAGCAATGAAGGCCTGAGTACAAAATGTTAATAGTTACCAAGGAAATCCATCATCTCTTCCTAGGATTCAAAATGCACATACCTCAGAATGATCCATTCCTGTTAGCATCATTCTAATTTCATTATAATCTGTAAAATCTTTTCTATCTTCTGCATGATCTGTCCCCTGTACCTCTGAAGGACTGATCTTTTATCTTCCCTACATTTAAAGGGAACTTTATCTAAATTTTTTTCAAGCAGGTTCAAATTCTGTAACACCTAGGAGGGACATATTTAAGACTGTAATTGAGATCTACAGTGTGATCAAAAGTGCCTCTTTTAGTCTACTTGCAGTTGTATCACAATAATTTATTTTTAGAATTTGATTCATTTACAGAATTTTTTAAAAACTGAAAAATGCAAGGAGGGCATTATTAAATGTCATCACTGCTGATATCTTTCATTGTGTCCTTGGCTCACTTACTCTCTTTATAGACATAACCACCTTTTCAGTAAAACAGGAGGTTTTGCTATGGAGGAATGGCTGGGCCTGACCTTATTTATGTTTTTAAGTTTCTCCTTTCAACTCTCTGCCAGGAAAAAAGCCACTCACTTGGGCAAAGTTCATTCACACCAGCTTTACAACAAAATGCAAACCTGAGACAGAGGACAGGCAGAAAAATCTCTTCCCATGAAGTCAATAGGAATCCATCTCCCTATGATCTTTTTTATTCTTGGCACCAGTGATTTTTCTCAACTGATTTATTGGAGGGCACTGGTTTAACTAATTTGTCTTGCATAGGTATCTTTCCCATTCTGTCCTCTCCACTAGTACAAAACAATCTTCCCTTTAAAGGTTATTTCCTAGCCAGATCTCTCCTAAAGCTATTATCATTAATTTGCACTTAAGGAGTTCCTTTCACTTTTAAAAAACTATGAGATACATTCCTGATTTATGGGTTACAGTGTGACAGCCATCATATGCAAAGAAGATTGTTTATACTTACTGCAGACATCCTTGAATAAGAGGGAAATTTCAACCATATCCCCAGTCCATGTGCTTTATATAACTGTATTCAATATCATAGAAGAACATGGCAATCTGTATTTTCGATCGTTCTCTAGGATGTCTGATAGAATTTTATCCTTGTTCTGGAAAATTCAGTGTTCAAATACCAAAATACAGAAGGTTTATAATACTCCACAAAATTCCATAGGTTTTAGGAGTAATTTCCATGGAAACACACTTTTAATCCTTATACATAATTTCCCTGCAACTGATAATTAAAAAATTATCCTCAGATTACTGTGAACCTCATTAAACATATTTCATAATCATATGTTTCATGAAAAATTGAAGAAAAGCAAAATATTTTCAATGTTTTTTAGAAAAAACAGTAAGTATGAAGAGTAGAGTGTACCTACCTAAACTAAACAGCACCAGGAATTTGAGACAGACGAATTCTCGTAGGTCAAACTGCAGAGAACGAAGCTTTGCTACCAGTTCTTGTGCATGGCTCATAAGATTGTTGAGGGTGGCTCCAGCTTGGGATGCTATTACGGAATAATCCACCTGTAAAAGAGAATTATATTCCTATCTGGTTGTCCTGCCCACACTTCAGGATGTTTCAAGCAACAATATGCAACCAGGATACTCCTGGACATAGAAATCACTCTTAATTTAATGATGTTACCAAATCAAGATGATTTTATATATAAACCAATTTTAACCCAATGGTATATATTGAAAATAACATTAAACCATATATCTTAATGGTACGTGACATCATTGTGAGTACTGGTTTGCCTGTATTAGCTTCTTTAGAAGCTTTAAATACCTGCCTATGACACAGGTAGCTGTCCACATCTCAGTTTTGTTCCCTTGGTGTCTCCTGTTCTCATTGTAATAATATGATCCTGCAGAGAACAACTGATGGAGTGAGCTTTGTGCCTACCCTGGCTGTATTGCTCCAGAGGGACACAATGATATTCATGAGAAACAGTCCTGTGTCCAAACTTGACCAGAAACATCTATTCAGGCCCAGAAATGTCGGTGTATTCCCACAGGAAACAGGTATTGTGTGGGTGGTTGCTGTTCTCCCCAGCTACACAAAATCCCTGTATTTGTTGGAATTGACTGGAACTCACTTGTTCTGGCAAGTGCTGCCCTGCAGGGGAAGGAGGGGTGGCAGGTGTGTGACAGCCCAGCTGCCCTCACACTGTCCCCAGCAGTGACCTCAGTGCATAGAGCTCCTGGGCTGGGGACATTAGTGGTGCTGGCCTCTGCTGCCCTGGTCATGCTGTCCCTTGTTCTCAGGGCAGGCTCACCTGCCTGGGAGCTTTCATTGTATGCAGAGATCCAATGGAGGTCTGGAGTTAATACATTTATTCAAAAAGGGAAAATTCACAAGCACAGGATGATTAAGGTCTGCCATTGCTGACTCAGCCTTGGGTGATCCTTGAACCTTGGGCAACCTCCCCAAGCCCAGCATGCTGAAACTGTTCTGGCTGATGCCAGTCCCATTGTGGGGATGTTTCCATGCAGAGACTGCCCCACCCCTGCCACTCTGAAGGTGTGCCTGCTTGTCACAGGATGCTGACCAGTGGGGAAGGGCACAGCCTGTGGGAATGGTGTGATGGGAAGGAGAAGGGAGGGGCTGGGGTGGGCTGGCTCCAGGACAGGGCAACGGTTGGTGTGGAGCAGGGTGTGACTGCTCTATCAGAACTGGGGTGACCTGAGCAGCAGCTTCAGCTTCAGAGCTCAGCCCACTTCTCATCAGAGTGCTCCACGTCCCCTGCAAGTGCCACTGTCCCATGGACATGGCCTGCTGTGCTGCTGCTCCCCACAGAACCACTCCTGGCCAACTGGCTGAGACCTAAATGGGTCAGTGGTACAATTTCAAAACGCTCTAGTTACCTTCACCTTTCTCTTGTAGGAGCCTCCAGAACAACAGGGAAATTGCTAATCATACTTCATCTAAGTGAAGTCTGGCTGTAAATTACAACTAAGCACAATGGTAAGTGCTTGCTTTGGGTCAGTCATTTGTTTAATGGAATCAGTGCTCTCAACCCATCTCTAAGGTTTCCCATAATAAAGTAGTTAATAAAGAATGGAGCAGTATCACCACAAGAAACAAACCAATACTGCAAAATTTTGTTTTTCCAGGCTCTGATCCCTTTAAATCTGTTTTTTAAAAAAAACATGTTAAGCAACATGTATTTTGATTTTTTTATTTTTTAAAAAATTATTTTATTTTAAAACTGCTGAATTGATTTTGCTCAAGCATAAACAGCAGTAAAACTTGGAATACTCCTAGCCTGACAAAATTGCAGCATGGAACGATAGAAAGAAGACTGAAAGAAGCTAAAATTAACTTTTCCTGGTAATGACCTTAATATAATCAATAAGTTATTGACTTTTAATAAGACATTTCATTTATATACTCTTATTGCACTCTATAAACTGATTGGAGGTAACTGCACAAGAAAATGAGGTTACACTTCTTGAATGGAGGTTAAGAATAATAATACTTTGCAGTGTTGGAGCAGTTTGAGTTGAGTTCATGCTTCAATTAAATCAGTGGATTAGGCTGAAGAATCCTGTGAGGTAGGTTATTGCTCTCTTTTACACCTGGGGAAACTTGAAGTAGTGACAATAAATTGTTTACTCAGGGCCAAAGAAATCTGTGGCTGCACTACGATCTGATCTTTGGAAACCCTAGCCTGTCCATCTTTCAAAAACTAATTGCTAGTTCATCTCTTATTTATCACTCTTTCTATAGATGCATTTATGCATATTTCTTTATGTATATATACCTATATAAATAATAAGAAAATATTAAGTGAAATACCTCAAATAATTTTTACTTAAAAACCAGTTTAATGTAGTGACTTGGTTCAACTACATTGTATTGAGAAACTGGTCACATATAAATATGAAGTTTCATAACTTAATATCTCTTTTGTAATTGTTAAGAGTGGGGGGAAAAAAGCTTCAAATCCCTTACTGAGCTTCCAATTTGTGGGGAAAATATGCTGCTCACTTCATAAGAAGAAGTTAAGATGTCTGAATGTCAAGAATATCAGTGGCCTTAGTGCAGCGATTATGCCATAATGGAAAAACCCAGTAGATGCCTGGATCTCCCAGCATCCCTCTACTGGAGAGCTCTCAGGCAGCCTGCTCCTCTTTCAGGTGCATTTAATATTTGCAGCACCAGCAAATTTGTCTGGGAGGCAAGTCCTCATCTGCCACTCACCAGGAACAGGCTGTATTAAATTTTTATATTTATTGACATTTCATTACCATAATTGACTGCAGTTGGTTCTCTAGTAGAAGGCACAGGGCTGCCTCCTAAGCAGGAGAATTGGTCCCTTGAGTAGGATTTGCAATTAAAAACAACGCAGAATGGATTTTTTTTTAATTGTGTAAATATGATGAGTTGAATTTTCAGCTTTAACTAGAGAATAGTAGGTGTGCAGAAGGCTTTTTTCAAGAGTGAGCAAAATTATGAGTCAGTGGAAAGACGACCCCCAAAGGTGTCAATCAGTTTATACAAAAGCAACTGTGCATGAAAAAGCCTCAGTTAATGTCTATTCTGAAAAAGTGGTCACATTAAAGACTACACTGTTCTGCTTGCTTGGTCCTTTATGCAGAAATTGATACGAAAATGTGTATTAATTCTTTTACCTTCCAACGTGATTAAAAGCATTTTTAAAAGACAGAGATTAAACCAGCTTGGATTTTGTGCAAAATGCTTAATTGCATAATGAAGTCAGAGCATTTACTTTGTATTGTGCATTTTACTTCATATTGTGCATTGATTTCATTTAGTAAAATCAAATCCATTACTAAAATATTCTTGCATCCCAATCAATACTACTACTTTTCACATTGCTTTTGATGTTGAGGATGTTATTTGGCATTTTTGAAAACAGCAGCTTTGTCAGAGCTTCTGCATAGCCTCATTTGGAAGTACAACAATGAGCTGAAGTTATGGCTGCACAAACAGAAGTGTGAATTCCTCCTGTACCCTGGGCTCAAAAAATGCTGTGGCTGAAGGCCAAAAATAAAGGGAACACCTGTTTTTTTTTTTTTTTTTTTTTTTTTTTTTTTTTTTTTTTGTTTTGTTTTGTTTTGTTTTGCAAATGGTGTTTCATGGTAATTCAAAAGATTTTTGAAGAAAAATTACTGGGCTCAGATAGTAATTTTTCTGGTGGAATCAGGTGGTGGCTTCTGGTATCACCTTCTCTATTCCCACAAAACAGTCTAACACTTAATGGTGGAATTAAGTTCACTTTTTCTTCTAAAATTAAGGAGTGTTTGATTATTCTAGAGTATGAATGTGGTATCATGGGTAAATATTGTGTGGAACTGCACCATCCCTTTCAATGCTTCAGCAAGCTTGAAATTGTCTCCAGAATATGATTAGAGTGATTTTACTTGTTGATGGTGTTGCCAGGTGCTGACTGTCCCTGAATGCCATTCCTTCCATCCAGACAGGAATTGCACAAGTAATGAATAAAGCCCCTGCTGTAGCTCTGTTCAGTATAGTCTAGTAGACTAAGGCAGTCCAAATTAATAAAAGATTGATTTCATATTGGATTTAGTAAATTACACTACTGTGAGCTTCGGGTCTGAAGGCAGAGGCAGTGAGTGCCTGGGTGCAGCAAAGGGAGCATCCTGCTCCCCCTGCTCTGTGGGGTGCAACCCTGGCCAGCACCTCTGGCTGCTGGGGGGCTGCTCCCCAGCACCCCCTCCTAGGCTTCAAACAGCACTGAAAGCCTGGCTGGCCATCATTGACCTGCCCTGGGTCTCTGAGCCCTGACCCTGCTTGAGTGGATGCTCAGTGGGTGGATGAGCCTCATCTCAAAAGCATGCATTCAGTATAGAGCAAACAAGCTCATTTACTATTGCAACCTTTCCACTGTTTCCTGAGATACAGCTTTCACTGGAAACTGCAGTGGTTATTAAACTCATTTTGAGCTTTTAATATAATTCTTTAATTAAAAACAGTGCTTCTGTTACATTTCTAAGCAAATAAACATGGAAAACACTTTGAAGAGGCGCCTACATACAAAATTTGAGGAGGTTTCAGAATGGAAAAACCCCACAGATATCCTTGTATCTGCTGGTTATCAGGTTTGGATATATTAATTAAAATTTTGTTGACTTATGCAGCATAAGATGCTTGTCATTTTAATGTGAGACAAATAATAGAAGATAATGAATTAAGTTGCCAGTGGTCCTTTCCCCTAGGATGATATGGTGCTTGATAATTAACTATAATATGCAAATAGTAACACTCCAAAGTACTGCAGAGTACAATAGAATCCATTTCTTTACGAAGTGCTATAATGTACTTCTGTTGTTCTTGTAATATTGAGATGAGATTATACAAAATCACTGCTGTGTTTCATATTCAGTAAAGCTGATCAGAAGACAGAGAGTCGCTGGAAAAAATGTTGTGAATGTCTGGGTAACATCTCACAAGGCTGCGTTAACTCAAACTGCTTCTTCAGGAGGTATGAACCATGTAAGTTCATTCCACCTTTAGACCCTCTTATTTTAGCCAAATTTCTGCTCTACTGTTTAATTCCTTTCCCACAATGGGAAGTCAAGACTGGCTGTACTCACCTTGGATCCCATCACTATCACTACTCCAACAGGCAGTTGGGACAGACTCGCATGGTGCTTTCTTCAAACTGAGTTTCTGAACAACTTTGTTTTTCCTTCTGGGCAAGCTTAAAATCAGCTAAGGGATTTTTCCTGAGTTTGTGTTGACAGATTAGTTCACTAGCATGGGACTGGTTTGGAGAAATACTGCCAGACTCCAGGCAAATAACTTTTGTTTTCTTTCTTACACACAGGAGCCATGTGTAAGAACTACAAAAGAAATGTGTTTCCCATGAAGACAACACAGTCAGCATGTGGAAAATGAAAGTACTGGTGTTCAAGTATTCATGTGAGGTGCTCTCTCCATGAAACTTTACTGGTACAGGGATTTTAGACTTAAAAATGTAGTGCTATGATGGTTTCATGGCTACACAGCAAAGCATATGTGAATTAGGATCAGGTTGTTCATAGGTATGTCCATAGCTACATGAAAGGCTCAAAATATGTAACAAATATTTTAAAAACCTGAATTCAGGGCACTTCATGGTTATAACTGCATTTTGATGTGTTTTACCCAGTTTAACTGAGCACATTTAGTTCATCCCCAAGGAGCAGCCAGCATAATATTTTCATATCTTCATAAGGCCCTTTTAAGAACTACCACAACCTTACTTTCCTTTAGGCAGAAACCACTAGAGTAAGGAACTGTGCAAAAAAACTAATACGGTACTGAATAGTGAAATAATGATTGCTTGACCTCATTTGTATCCTCCTTGAATCAAATCCTGTGTTTATTTGCTGATGTAAGGACTTCCAGATTTGGCCCTCTAATGCCAATACTTCTTTTGTGCCCACCACAACTGTGAAGCCTCACTGACTATAACACAAACTGAATGAGAAAAAGATACTTGCTAATTTCCAAAAACATAAGAAGTAATAAGTTTCCACTAGATATCCCTGAGCTTTCTATAACTATGACTTGTGGATGTCCTTTACAGCCACTCCTCTTAACATTCTTGTGCTTTTGTATTTCAGTGATACTTCTGCAAGGGTGGTCTTTCTCAACAACACCATCAAGATCTCATGCTCTTTCTCTGGTGCTATGCTTTAGAATAGAAATCCAGGTATAAAGATGCATTTGTGTGGTGACTTCAACTAAATCAGTAGTTTCAACAGTCTCAAAAAAATCTGAGATTTAGGCACATTTTTGGATGGCCTATTTAATTGGAAAGGCTTTGACCAAGCTCAGCAGAGGGAATATTTGGCAGTAGAGTGAAGGTATGAATAAAAGGAGCAGATGAAACTACAATTCACATGTTGTGCATTAACTGTTACAGGAAAATACACAAGTAACAATATTCTGTGCAGAGCTTTAGCATCTACCTTATGTGTGCTGGGTCTTGGAAGCTGGCAGTGTATTGGTCTTGTAGAAGATACAAGAGGAAAGTGCTGAAGTTGGAGGAATTAAAATTCTATAATTAGAAATGGTCTGTTAAAATTACATGGCACATGGCAAGTCTACAAAACTCAGCATGTGGAGAGCATATTGGCAATGATTTACAATTAACCACCACATTGCAAATCACTCCTTAGCTGTTTTCTATTATGAAATTTTGAGAGTTGTAAAATGCATTTGTGCTACTTTATTTCCTTTTGAAATGGTAATTGCTACTGCTGAGGGGCAGTACTTAGTGCAGAAAATGAAGTGTGCAGCACAGGGAGGAACTTGTTTCTGAGGAACTGCTGAGGAATTGTAATGATCTGAAAAAAGTGCTTTCTTGAAACACATACACACAAAAGAGTTTCATTTATGAAACCCCAAATAAATAACAAAATAAAATAAAACACAGTCTCTTTTTATACAAGGGCCAGAGATTACTAGTTTGTTGCTGACTGCACTTTTCCCCCATCAAAGTGGGAACAGTGGATTGACACTGAGTAAAACCCATAAGTCAGTGGCTTGAGGGAAATGCAGATATATGGAAATGTGATAGGAGTGCCCTAAAGTAATGGGTTTTGAGCCAGTGTGTTTGAAAATTATCAAGTGTTCTTCTAACTACTATCCCCTTTTAGATACCTAGTGCAGCACTGACAGTGGTACCGCCCTGGGGACCTGGATAAAGTTTGGCTATTGTGTCTGAGGAACAGAGGCTGTGCACTCTAAGTGGAGAGAGCAGGTATGCTCTAATTAAGGGATGGTAAGTTCCCCCCTTACAGCTTCCACCTTGATGGTGATTTGTAAAAAGGGCAGTGTTTATGAGTAGCTTTTATGGAGGGATATATTAAGGAAAGCGAGGAGTGAGGCTTCTCAGGTCTTAAATTTGCTAACTTGTGACAATAAGCTTGATCTCTCAGGTAATAAAGTTGGCAGTCTAGCTCAGGTCCTCAGTTTAAAGTTATTATCTTTGAAAGCCAGATGATTGACTGTAATTTTGCTCATAGTGCTTTGTTGGTAGCAGAAATAAAAACATCTACAGCACTTTTCATCAGAAGTGTCAGAGTGCTTTCCACACCTTAATCAACTAATTTTTATGAAATGGTGGCATGGTTTTTCCCTGTCTCTTCTGTGGGAACTGAAAAGATCAGGACAGGAATCAGAAAGCATGCAGGAATGGTGCACTAGCAAAGACTCATAATGCCCAGGTCTAGAAGTGTGGCTTCCCAGAATTATTTTACAGTTTTTACAGAGGATATAGACACAGTTTAATTGTGCTTTCATAAATACATTTGAACAGATGTTGTGTCTAGGAGTGCAACAGTCTGAGTCAATGCTTCCAAGATGGTTTACCTTGACAGGTAGGAAAAGAGACAGTTGTATTGGATCAACTTGTCTAACAAAGTAACTCACTACTGAACAGGGATGTGCAAAAGCAGTGCACAGCAGCTGAAGCCAGGAGTGGCTCAGGATGGGTGATGCAGAAACACCATCCATGTCCATGTCCACTGCCATGGAGTGATAATGTTAAAAAAGGGTTCAGCTGTATTGAAACGTGCAAGGGATGTTGAATTGCTAGTTTGGGATAAACCAGGAAGATGTGGGACTGCAGCTGGATTCAGATGGTGATTTTGTGGCAGCAAGCACAGACCAGGCTGAGGTTCTCAGTGCTACCTTTGCCTCAGTCTGTCCTTACAAGATGTCCTGGACTCTGTGTATTGCATCAGGGCTCAAGGAGGAGGAGAGTTATGAGCACTAGGTGTAAGTTGGAATAAAAAAAAAAAAAAAAAAAGACTTCATAGGACAACCAAGGAAAAACTTTCTCCCCATGGAGATTGTCAGGCAGTGGTACTGGCTGCACATGAAGTTTTGCAGTTTTCGTTCTTGGATGTATTCAAAGCCCAACCGGACAAAGCTCTGAGAAATCTGGATTGAGCAGGGGTTTGGACTGGTCCTTAAAATTCCTTCCAGTCTGGATTATCCTGTGATTTTAAGATTTGTGGCTCTGACAATTCTAGATATTTTAAAACTTCTGCTTAGCTCACTCAGCCTTGTCCAACTAAACAAAAGTGTTTCTTCCAAGAATTATTTTAACCCATGAAAAGATGCTGGTTCAAAGTAAATGCTTTTGATGCAGAAATTGCCTACAAGCCATGTAGTGGCACAGCACTGGCACTGCTGCAGCACCTCGACCAGCAGCAGCCTTAGTGTGAAACGTGTGCCGTGCACAGCCAGGCGGGGCAGGCGCCTGCTCCTGGAAGCAATCTGGCTTTTCATCGAGGAGCCACTGGGGCCAGAGCTGAGTGAAACTGGGACAAAGCAGAGGCATTAGGGGAGATTTCAGAAACAGCAGCCAGAGACTCTGTAGTTCAGGTCTAGTGTCTCCCTGTTTCTCAAAGAGAATCTGTGACACATCCATGGGAGTATGTTTTGCAGCTGTTAGGAACTGTGAAATGGGAAAAAGGACTGGCTGTAGAGTTCTTGTTGCTGATGTAGTGATATCGCTCCTGCTCTTAGCCTAAGTGCAAAGAGGAAAGTAAAGAAGGTGATGGAGACTCTGGGGGTGCTTGCACCGACTTCAAAATGACTAATTTTGACGTAGGAAAGGGAAATTGGATTTAAAGAAGGATGTATTAAAAACTACTTTACAAACATGGGCAAAAATGAATGCAGTCATTCCAACATAGCCAGGTTTTATCCTAGTTGGAGACTGCCTGCAAATGCACAGCTTCCCAGTCCAGCTGCTGATTTGCAAGCAGTACATTTAATAAGCATCCTGCTACCTGTTGTCCAGCAGTGAAGAAACGCTCTGCTTTGCCTTGAGATCATGTACAGCTGGGGTTTTTATTTTCAAGAAAAGATAAAAGTGGCTAATGAGGTAAGAATAACTACTGTGTGAAAATGGGGACAATGGCTAGAATTTAAGGGTAGTTAGATGCCTCTAATGATTTCAGTGGGACTTAGGTACTCAGTACCTTTAAAACAGTGCTAATCACATAACAAAGGAGACACTAATTTAGCAGTTCTCTCAGGAACAGAAACCTGTCAATGTACTTATAGCTTGATAAACAAGCATCCTGTGTGGTAAATGAAATAGTTTCCAGTGAAATTGTCTATCTTGCAGACCATGAAATTTTCTCAATTGCACCACTATGAATAAAGAGTCATGCAACTGAACTGACTTTTGCTAATGCAATTAGGGAGTAGAACGATATCTGAGAGGTTAGTGACTTTCCATGAACTGCAGGAGTCAGTTCTACAGATAGAATTTGAGTTTTCCCAATTCCTTTCTTGAACAAGTCAATAATTTCTCCTTTCTATTGTAGACCTCTTAATCATAAATGTAAACAGGAGAATCAGAATCCTTCTGATTCTTGCAAACATTTATTCTAAGTGTTAAGAAATGGCTGCATCTTTAAAATTACAGCTAAAGCTGTAAGCAGATTCCACAACTTGCAGACACAAATGGTGTAGCACAGGAAAAGGAGCTCTTTCCCATGTGTGTCTAAATTGAGGCAGTTCAGTTCAGTTTGCAGCTACTTAAATACCAAAGAGCCATCATTTGTTTTCACTTCAAGACAGAAACATAATGTACAGGCACACCTTGCTTTTCTTTGATACTCTCTTTTTTTTTTTTTCATTCTGTTAAAAGCAGAATAACAATCTTAGGAATAAGGTTCTTGTTTTACTGTCAAGATCGTTGTGCTTTGGAAAGCATAGTGGAGACAAAACTTTCTTTTGTGTTTTCTCACAATTTTCCTAATATTTGCTACATTATAGCTCTTGCATTTTGGGAGATCCTTGTATCTGACACATGAAGAAAATTACCCCTGGATAGCTAGGCAGAAACTGCAGGGTGCATACCCTGAGACAGTTTCTGGGACACTATCTGCTTTTATAGCCTATGGACAGAATAATTTTCCTGTGATTAGATGTCTCAGCTGCCCAGTTTCTCACACATGTGCATATGTCTCTAAAAGCAAGGTATTTCTGAGGTAGTAAGCAGCAGGTTCTCTAGCTTTCTGATCCAGCCACTGCTTCTTTTCAGTAAATCACAATTCTGAAGGGAAGAAAACTGTACATGCTTAAACCTAAACATTAGGTTTGGGAGTGTTGTTGTTAGAAACAAGCCCCAAGGAAATACTACTTCTTGAAAAACAGTTCTCATCTGCTGCTTTTCAATTACTGAAGTATTTGAAAAGCAAAGTGCTTATGATTATATCTGCTTTTTTAGGTTTATCTGTAATCAGCAGACTAGAAACAGAGTGCACAAGTGATTTTACCTACACTACTTGTGAAGGATCTCTGAGAACACAGTGGTGCTTCTGACCTAGTTAAACTCCTGGTATTTTGAAAATTATTATAAAAACAAGAGATGACTCTTTCTCTCAGACAACATACTCACTTGTTGCCCAGTAACCAGAAGGATGGAGCCTTCTTTCCCATGTACCACTTGCCGGTAAATGTGATCCAGAATTAAGAGTTCGCTCCAGCAGTTCTGAAGCAACTTCATTTGGTCATCAACCTGTAAAGGAAACACAAACATTGGTGACATCACTCTGGGAGTAAGTCTGGCATCACACTAGGGAGGCAGCCCTCCTTCACACAGCTGGCTGACAGGAGAACAGAGGTGCTGTGTAGAAATATTCATGCCCAAAATTGTTGTTTGCAGTTGACTAAACAGAACACTGCTGTGGCCTTTATCTGTAAAATGTTCTCAATATTTACTCCTGATTAGATTCTAGGAAAGCAGAATGAGGAATTAGATTCTAAGAAAGCAGACCTTTGCACTGTTATGCTAAGTAGTAATAATTGTATATTTGTGGCAATGGGATTTTATTTTTACCCAAAACAAGAAGAGCAGGAAATAATGCTGATGTGAACTTTCTCCTATTCCCCATCTTAAACCTTAGCTTCTGGAAATGAGAAGGAATCTGGAGATTCCACAAGCGTTATTGCTTCAACAGGCCCAAGTCAGAGACAGGTCCCTTGCAAATTAAAAAGTGAAGAGATGTTAAAAAACTCTCTAAAAATGGCTGTGGTGCTATGAAAAGAGAACACTTCTTAATAAGCAGAAGCTGAGCAGCTCTGAGTGTCACTGGTAGGGCAAGAAAGGGCAATGCACGAGTCAGTGGTGAGCAGTGAGACTCATCCATGAGTGGATTTGAGAACAGAAGGAACATACTGGGCACCCAGAACAAGGAACCTACTTTAAGATTTTCTGAAGTTATTTGGGATCTATGTCTTAGAGGACAAAGAAATGTATCCGTAAAGTGACTGTAAATGCAACTAGATTGTATTCAGTCTTCTTCACTTAAAGACTGAAAAAAATTAGGATTTCCATGGAAATGGGGGAAAAAAATATCACAAATTAGTGGAAGGTAGACTATGAAATTAAGTCATGGTAAGCATCAATATCCTCTGAACCTATTCTTACTGAGCTTCCTGATTTCTTTTTAAAATCAAAGTCTTTGACTTTAAATGGGTGCCCTGAAAGAATTGAGAGGTGCATAAATTAGTCCTGCTACAATTCAGGGTAGTAATAGCACCTATGTAATTGAAAGGACTCTTAAGAACCTGCATAGACAGCAATTGCTGAACAAATTAAAAATGCTATAAATGCTATAAATCTAGTTTCAATTGCTTTAAAACTAGATTTTGTAATACACAGGAAACCACACTACAAAGAGTAATCCTGCATGAGCTGAATTAGATAATGCAGTAGGTGTTTTCAAGTTTTATCAAATATGACCTAATGAATTTTAGAACTTTGTTCTTTCAGGCTTGCTTTCTAGTTGTGTAGTAGAGAAGGAAGTAACATTTCTTATGAGTAGATTTTTGTAATGTCACCTGTGAAAGTTGCCTACTATTGTCTCTCTCTTTCCAATCACTTGCCACATAGCTCAGACTTCAACATCTGAAACAGTGAAATCTTTGCTTCTTCCATTTGTCATAACTTCCTTTCAAAGGCACAAGAGGCTGTGTGCTGCTGTTCGTGTTTTCCCACACAGATACAGAGCAAGGATGATTTAGTATTAAAAATCTCTTGCTCTGCCCGCAACATGTATTTGACCACAAAACTGTTCTGTTTCAACCAATTGATTTGTTGGCTCAAGAGAGGACTGTAAATCACCACATTGATACACTTGAGCCAGGTTTAATTAATTATTAGAAAACGATATTTGAAATATACAGATTCTGTTACTCTTGTTTTTTACATGAAACTATTCTTTGATAATTTTCTCCTCTGAACAGAAAGGGGTTGAAAAAAATCACAAAAATCAGAGACATCATGTTAACAGGACAATGTGACCCGAATTTCACAAAAAGCTATCACAGCTTACATCCAAAGAAAACAAATTTTGAGAGAGTTAAACCTTCAGCATCCATGTCATAACACCTGTTACCTGAATAAGGTGTCAAGCACTTGACTGGACTATAAATGACTATATATTTCCAGTGTAAGCCAGCTGTCTCAGCCACAGGCTTTTGAAAACAAACCACACTTTAGAGGTCTGGCTTTCTGAAGATCCTGATAGCAGCTACTCCACAATCAAAGCTTACCTCCCAAGCTCTATCCTGTCATTACTGAGCCAGTGCTGTGAGAACAGTGCGAGATGGCAAAATCACAAAAAATGGTTCTGCACATAGTCTGTTCCTGCTGTTTTACAAGCCTGACAAAACTAGCACAGTGAACATCTGCTAGTGGTTCACAAAATCTACTCCTCTGTGTTCGCTCTAATTTAACTAGTGAAAGCCCATAAAATGGATAGCATAACCAGCTCTATTCACATCCCAAACACTGTATTGCCTGCAGAAGATTATTAGATCCAGCTGCTTTTGCCATTTTAAGAAAGATGGTGGGGCAGCAGATGCCTCCAGTTTGCCCTAGGAAGGAAAAAAGAAACATGACTTTAATGAGGATTGTGTATTACTAAAAGGTAGCACAAATGACCAGTTCCAGCCTACTTCTGAAAGACAGGTAGATGAGGAAAAGCATTTAGATCACATTGAACAAAACCAGTAGTGCACCACTTCTTATGTTAGGACAAGCTGGTAAAGTTTATGAAGTGTGTAAGTGCAGCAGAACACAAACACCATTGTGTTTCTGTGGCATGTCGATAAATGTGTTGCAGAAGCATGTTATCTGTCAAAATGACAAAATCAGCCTTTGACCAAAACAATTATGTGCCTTAAACTGAATGTGCCTGAAACTGATCCTGAAGGCAAAGAGACTCAAGTTTGCTTCTGAAGAGGAAGGTCCTCTGAAGGAAAATCCTCTTGTGGACTTCAGTCTTCTGACTCCAAAGCTGGAGAAGGCTGCTCTGCCATTAGCAGTGTAAGCAGGAGAAGAGGTAAGATTCTGTCTCCAAGACAGCTACATAGAGTGTTTCCAGGAGTGGAGGAAATGGATTCTCAGTTTGAAGAGGAAAGGTCTAACCCTGAGCACTGTGGTGACAACACTATCTCTTGGCAGGAGAAGAAGATAGGAATGGGAGTGTCACATCTGCCTGCTAAACCCTGGCCTCCCCTCAGCTGGGCCCTGAGCTTTTATATGGAATTCAGTGGAAGTTTGTAAGTCTCACTGAGACCTCTATTGACACTGAAATACACAATCACCCCTTATCAATTATAGTTAAAGGGAAGACTTATCTCAGAAATGCTGGTTACTCATCTGAAAAACTATTTGTGCTGATGTTATAGATGAGGAAGGCTAGTGTGACACAAGAGTAGTATTGTTGTAGAGTGTATGCTTCCCACAGCACAGAACGTTAATCATTATAAACTTTTGTTTTTTCTGAAGAACAACACTGAAATTGCCAAACAGTAAAATGAAGAATAATGTGTATGCTTTGCTGAAATTCACCTTAATCTTATCAAAACCACACTGTGTCTTTCTTTTAGGAAAGTATTTCACAATATTTTGTGCTGTAACCAACAACTGCAGATTTATTGCAATTTTTCTTCTGAAGAGGTATTTTCAGCCTGAAACTTGATGAATTACCTGTTAAAAATTTCAGGGTCATGGGGTTTTTTTGTTGTTCTAAGTTAAATATTTTCTTTATAATTATTGCTGCAGATTCAGTTAAACAATGTGTTCACTTTTTACCCAGTTTACACCTGCTTTTCTCAGAAGCTGGAGAATCCTTTTTCATCTCTGTTCATTTACATCAACTTGCCACAGTAGCTTTGGGCTTTTCTGCTACTAAAAATTTAAAAGGGTATCTAATGATTTAAAGAAACCACAATAATTGAAATTTATGTGATAAGACTGTGTTGGATTCAGCTGAATTATTTTTACTTATGATTCTAATAGGGAATGCAAATATGGAATAACATGAAGCATTCATCTCATAGTGCCACTTTTAAATTCTATGGCCATTGAATATCCATTTCCTAGTGACTATGAAGTGATTAAACATCTGTCTGAACTGCTCAGCCTGAAGCACATCGGTTCAAGGAATGGTTGAACTTTCTTTCAAATGCAGTTAGGAGATCACTCACAAGCCATTGCAGACATATAATTTGAGTTGTTACTCCATTTTCTTATGCTATAGTGGTGCAAATCACCCCAAATCAAAGTTTTATAAGACAAGTGCACTCCAGAGACTATTTTTTATTCCTGAATGCATGCATGGTTTCCAAATCATTATATAGGTAGGGAAGGATTTGGGCTCTCCAGATGGCTTGCTGCTAACAGAGGGAAACCTGTGCAAGGCTGCTGTCAAAAGGCAGCACGTAACAGCCAATGTGATTTCAGAAGTGAATGCACATAACTTTCAGAATCAGTGAATGCCCTAATAAAATGTGATTACTACCTATAATCTCAGTAATAAAATGCTACAAAGTTCAAGAAGAAATGATTTAATATTAACTATGATTGTTCCAGTTCTTTACTAGAAACCTGTGGGTTATAAAAATTTCTAGGTGAAGGCAGGGAGTGATCTTTACAAGTCTGTGTTTGGTTAAATGACTGTCCTGTTTCCATCTAGCTCTAGCATAAAGGGAGTATAAATCTTTTCAAGTTTGGTAGTGCTTTACATATGTCTTGATTTAAAAATGAAAAGAAATAGAGAAATACTTCAGTGTGTGCCTTTTCCTGCTCCTTTGCAAACTGTACAGAGGCTTTTACACAAGCGCAGTTGTACTTGGAATGTGCCTCTGTGTGTAACTCTTTCTCTAGTAACTCCTGAATCCACCAGTCAGACCCAGAATATTTCCACAGGAAGTTTTTCTATCCAAGATAAGTTTCTATATGCTTTGTTTGAATCAGTGTCCACACAGAGGAAAGTAACTGCTGAATACCACGCTGAAAGAAAGCTTAATGTACTCATCCTTTATTCAACAGCAGGGAAGTAAGAAAGAGGAAGAGAGGAGGGCTAAAATGCTTCATTAGTTCCTTGCTTATGGAGCCATTATTATTTGGAATATCAAATTACTTTGGAATTTTTTAAAGGACATAGACAAAGAATTTATAGCACAAAATAACATTTGAGAAGTCCCACACTGTTTTACCCTTCCAAG